ATAAATATGAACTTTAGAAAATATAGATACAATAAATAGTAAATCTCTTTAACAACCATTACAATTAACAATATAATAAAAACACAAATCACCCTCCAAGTATCTCATCTCACTTACACATTCGTGGTCGTTAGTACAGGTCTCGAGAACATTATTTTCAGTATGTTACAAAGACTGCCAAAGATGTTACTCATATGCCTCAATTGGGACATGTTTATGATCCTTATCCATCCTATCGTAGTCGATGTCATTGTGGGAAAGATGCCACCAAATATAGTTATGGAGAGTCATCGTTACAATCATAATCTGCATCGATTTGGGAAACTGATAAGATGACATATCACAAAATATATCTCATTTCTTCTTCCAAACACCAAAGTCCTCTTAACAACATCGTGTAAGGATGAATGTATTTTGTTGAAAATTTCATTCATGCCCAGCGCGACATTACTTCAAAATCAGGTATGTGGTATCTCATATCAGATTAGGGCTTGAGATGCCCTCCCTGTAATGAATATCCATCCTTGACCAAATAGTATTTACCTGATGTCAACTGAATGATTACTATTGAAATAAAAAATAATTAGGAGAGTAGGTCAGTCTCCAGTGAATCTATGAGTGGATATGTGAAGTCATATTTGTTATTCTATGTTGCATATTTGAAAAATTGACTATCATGTGCAATGCCGTCCTAACTGGCCATGATAAAATGGAAACACATATTGAAGTCGCATACTGCCATGATATTCTCTGTTGGGGACCAACAACAACCGATGAATGCGATCATCTTATCATTTAGAACACGTGTATTAACGTGTGTTCCATCGATTGCTCTAATACAATCCTAAAAAGATAATAGGATTATGTCATTACATATTTATATGAAAATTGAATGTTATAAATATGATAAATTACCTTAAAGTATGGAATATACCGCACATCGTGTTAAATCTCTGTGGGGTTCGTTCGAATGTAGGATCTTTTGGATTTTCGACTCATGAAGAAAAACAAACAAGTGCATTCGCCCTTACAGAGAAGTATTTGCAAATCGTTTTGGTGGAGTGATAAAATCGCTTCATAGCTCGCATTGATTAATTATGTGATAACATGTAGAGGATTATTGTCAACAGCTCTTGCAAAGTCATTTAGGATTAGCCATGAATTCTATGTTTTCCATGTAGTTCTTTCAACAGATCGGTCAACAACACTTATGTCATGCAGAACATATTCTTAAATCTCATTTGAAGGCCCACAAGCAAATCCCCAACTTATTTTTTTATCAACATATAAGGATTTCATGCAAGGGGAGCGTTCTATGTACGAGTTATAAGATCCATACATCAAGCATACGACGGCTGCAACTCTCCTTATTCACTTTTCTCTAGTTGCATCCATGCAGCTTAGTATCGAAGAGGCCAACACATAAATATCAGTGAATTAGATACAATCATCTAAGGTTACAAAAAAAACCAACGTAAACATATAACATTGCGGAAGTTAATAGAAAACATAACGAAGTATTAAAAACTCTCAAGTAAAGCGGCATGTCCAAAATATTTAAATATCCAAAGCACCATGAAAAACCCTAAACAAATCAAAATATCACACAAGAATCCAATTAAAAGAAAATGTCTCCAAATGTCACTTCTCCCATAAAAATAGCACAGGTAAAGCACCCGCCATCGTTATGAAAAACTCTCTTCGGGTTGAATCTTCAAACAACTTTATAGAAATGAATATAGAGGCATGTCCTTTGAAATTTCTAGTGTTGCATCCAGACATCACATAATCTGCTAGACAGAAGATGCTTATGATGTGTCAGAGTCATTGGTGCATGAAGCCACGAATTGTTAGATCTGGCTACTAAGAAAAGCTGCTCCTACATTCTTTTTATTTTCAACTTAGGGACACTTCGACCTGCTCATGGACTCAAGTTCATGGAGGTCCGGTTGGGGCCTTTAATGGAATCACCTACCTAGTCAGCTCCCAAATTTTCAGGGATGCCTCCAAACCCCTTCTCACAAGAGACACATGCATTGTTGTTCGTTACAACGACACCACCAAACATACAATCCAACTTCTCCAACTCAGATCTATTCCATTATATTTAATTTTTTTTTTTACAGCAAGCTCCACCAACAAATTCATATAATATGTAGTTGAATTTAAAACAAATTAAAAACTGACAAAAATAGAGGACATTATAAAATTGCTCACTCTCAGTCTCTTTGCCCATCATTCCTTGGAAGCATCAATTGTTCACTTTATCTAATCCCAATTATTTTTTGACTGCATCCTATCATACTATCTGTCGGTACTTTTCTTGAATTTTCTAATAATATTTTGTCAACCTTCCTTGTTGAAATAGATTGTCAGCGTATTTCCCATATTGACTTCCTTGAGTCGAAAGTCGCAAAATATTAACTTTGTCTCTTTATCCGACATTACAGATGCACCAGCCATTTTTGTCTTAACCATTAAATTACTAGAATGAAGAAAACTAATTAACATAAAAAGGGATGACACAATATCACAAATCAAAGAAAAATATGAATGACACAATATCATCACCAATGCCACAACCCTCCACACACCAACATCTCCACACAGACAGCACCACCTCTACACACCAGCACATCAAGGCACCAACACATCGACCACACCACCAGCATCACCTACACACAATAACACCTCTACACCAACACATCCACACACTAACTACCTCCTCCACAACCACACACTACCACCTCCACACTAACACCACCACCTCCACACCAACATTTCCACACGTTCGCACAAATACAAGCACACACTAACCACGACATCCACCACACCACCACCAACACCTCCACACATCAACATCTCCACACAAACACAACCACACACTAACCACCACCTCCATAAACACACACAAACACCTCAACAAAGATGCCACCATCTCCACACACCACCACACGGACACCACCAGACACCACACAGACACCACCACGTCCACACCAACATCTTCACACACCAGCACATCAAGGCACCAACACATCCACAACACCACCACCACCTCTTTCACACACCAACACCTCCACATAAAGAAAATCGAACTAACCACCACCTCCATAACCATGCACGAACTTTTCTGCACGGACAACACCACTTCCACACACCACCACACATGCACAAACACCTCCACACCGACACGAGCACCTCCACACCAACACCCCCAGAGACTAGCATATCAAGACACTAACACATGTACCACAACACCAGCACTTCCTCCACACACTAACCCCCACCTCCACAACCACACACCAATACCTCCACACAGACATCACTAACTCCACACACCACCACATAACCCCACACAGATTCTAAAACCTCCCCACACCAACCACCATTGCACTACTTCATAAACAACACCACACCAGACCAACTTCTCCAAACCAGACACCAATCACCTCAACGCCACCAACCACCATCACCAATAGCACAAGACACCACTCCACCACCTCGACATCGCCTTCTCCCACAACACACCACGACCTCCTCACAAGGTATAACCAAAATCAACAACCTCTTTCATCCATATTTCAAATTCTCACATAAACATCAAAGATAATGGTAGAACCCCATTCCATATTTTCCATTTGAGACAATTACATACAGACAACAAAACATTGTTATCTACAAATTAAGCATTATCTATCATTTGAGGCAACTACTTACCTGGAACCCAAATTTTTAAAATTCTCAGTGGTTACATACAGAGCACCCGAAACAGTGCCATCTAAAAATAGAGAATCCAAGAAAAAGCAACTTTCAATCCATTTTTTTCAACAGAGGCAGTGACATGTAGGGCGCCGAAACAGTGCTATCCAGAAATCAAGCTACTTTCATCCATTTTTCAATGTAGTGACATACAAGGCACCTGAAACATTGCTATCTACATGCATGGCTCCTGGAACAGCGTTATTTACATACAAGGCACCTGAAACACCATTCCATAGGACCATACAAATCGCAGAACTGGCAAAATCCAAAAAATTCTCATAATAACCATAGACGAAAATGAGAAAGCGAGAAAATTAGAAAGCGCTGAATAGTTTCCAAAAAAAATTTACAAAACCTACATAACGCAAATGAGAAAGCCAAAAATCACAAGAAGAAAACCATTCAATTGAAATTGAGCACAAGACCTACATATTGTGCACAATAACTAGAGATCAGAGAGAAGAGAAGAGGAGAAAGACAAGTTGCCACCATACAGAGCCACATGAGATGCACGAGAGAGGCACAGTGGGGATACCTAAACAACGGGGTAAAAACTTCGTGAGTGTGATCGAAAGAGTTAGCTAGGATAGAAGAAACACAAGAGAGAGAGCCACATGGTCGAGAGAGGCAGGAGAAACTCGTGCAAGGGCCGCAAAGTAAAATTTATTTGAAGAAACACATGTCGTGGGGTCGAATCCGCGTCCGAATTTTCACAAATTATTTAGGAACGTCACCACACCGCTTTTCTAAATGGCTGGAACCACGTTTTCAAAACGCATCACGCCAAAAAAACTGCCCCAAACGGGTCCTAAATAATCAGAGTTAAAGCCTTCCGAACTTCTAGCTTTTCTGTTATTACTTCTAAATGTAAAAATAGAAAAACAGTTTCAAACCAAAATTTGAAATGTATTTTGGTACAAATAATTTTTGAAAGATAAATTTAAAAGTCCTGAAAAACTCTTCATTCCAACAAAAGTTATGACGGTAAAAATAATAAAAAATTATGTCTAACAAAACGTACTACATTTAACATTCACCCCTCAATAGAGGTGACCAAATTTTAACCATTTAAATATTCTATTCGAAATAAAGCACAGCAGTACAAAAAAAGTAAAATAACAAAAATATTCAAATAAAATAAAAAATGTTTATGGATCATGCCTCACATTTCCAACAAAGGTTTAATCAGTTTAGTGTTATTTGAATACTTGTAATCCATCAAGTGCTGTTTGTAATATTAATTGTCATTATCTCAAAATAATCGGAAGAATTGAGGGGGGTTATAATCTTTCTCATATTTCCTCTTCTTAAATGAAGCTGGCCGCCCTCAAGGTCAGCATCAGCATTTGGATTAACCCCGTAAATGCTTGGAACATGCTGCTAAATCTCAAGATACGGGTGAGCCACACAAAACTGTTCAATTAGTGATCAAAACCCTAAATGAAGTACAAATCAAATTAGAATTGATAGGACAAACAACAGCAAATAGTACATTAAGCTGACGAAGCATTGTTGGAAGAAAAAGCGACATAGGAATTAGAAAGATCCAGCAGCTATAAAGCTGAGAATATCTTCCCTTCAAGATTCCATCAAGAAAAGAAGAAACTACAAATTTCAGTCCTCCAACCAATGAAAATATTAGCGAACCTCACAAAACTTCAGAAAATGAAAAAAAAAAAAAAAAGGAAAAAGAATTCACCACCAACACAACCGGAAATGATTTTTACTGTGTATATCGAGTGTATTGACTCACCCAATCCCCACCAAATCTAGCTCCATATCAAACAAATCAGTATGTAGACCTCTTTCATTTCACCAAATGCAATGTAACAAGACGAACAAATCAAGTGGCAACTTCCGGTCTGGGTAAAAAGCAAAAACCAGTGAACAGCTGAAGAGGAAATCTTTTTGTCACAGGGCACTTTTGTGACCATCTCCACTGCCTTCTGCTCATGTCAAATGCTAGAAGAGCTGTGGCGCCATAGCTTTGAATGTATATAAGGTCATCAGAACCACTGCTAGCAAAGACATCGTCAAACTCCCCAAATCCTTGAAAATACTTGTGAGGCATTCGAGCAACCTCCCGCCACTCTTTCTTGTTAAGCTCCCAAATTCCTATTCCCTTGATAATATCAGGCCTATCAAGTTTGGCGATCCCCCCAACCAGCACGAGCTTATCACTGAGGTTCATCAGCCTACCACAAGTGAGGGAGCATGGTACCGATATCGACGTGCTCATCAGAGTGCTTGATGATCTGGCAGTGAGATCATACATAAGAAGCCCCTGACGAATTAAAGAATTACCAACCACACCAGTGCAATGAATCAAGCAATATAAAACACCCTTGCATATCACACCTTCATCACCACCCCTCCATCCCACCAAAACCTCTGTAGCCAAAGTCACCCATAATTCTCTTTGTGACTCATAGAAGTGGATTGAAAGTTCCCAGTGAAGAAAATCTTCAGGTACTTGCTTCGTTTTCACCACAACAACATCATAGCCACTAGATTCCGTGTTCATGGAAATGGCGAGTGCACTGTAGTCAGGGGATTTCACACCAGGAACTTCAAGGAGCTTTCTCTTGTTCTTTGTTATTGGGTTACAAACAAAGATGCAGCTCCTAGTATTATTGTCCATAAAGCAAACTAACCCAGATGAAGAAGAGATAAACCAGTTACGCTTCTCAATACAAGGGAGCTCAAGATTATACCATTTCCGAAGATCTGGATCATAAGCATATCCTGCTGCGGTATCATTGCAGGTGAACATGAAGTACCAAGGTTTCTGTGGCACCCGATTGGCCCATATGGTCCTCCTGGAATGTATAACCTCATTCCATCTTTTGCACACACATGCGGCCTTAAATATACTTGCAAGAGGGAGAAACGAGAGAATTCTCTCCAAAAGATCATTGGGGAGAAAGTTCTCCATGGAAATTAGGTCATATTCGGCTTCGTCATTACCCTCCGTAGTTTGCTTTAAGTGATGTACGCTATCTTTATAGTAGTATGATTCCCATGATGTTCCCCCCTCCATAAGTAGCAGGAACAATGGAGAAAAGAATCTAAGCAAATGACACGGAAGATATAAAATTCATCACAACATTGTCAGTCTTAACCCAAAAAAATTATAGAAAAATAAACATGGTTCATAGTGCAAACAAACAGTACAGATTCAAGGACATCAATTGCGTAAAGGTCAAAATACATATTTAACCTATCGATATTCTAAAACTCGCTCCCCCAAAATATTTTCTTTTAAATTTGTTTCCTTTATTATTATTATTTTTTTTTTGACAGAGCAAGGAAGACATATATCACAGCAGCTGAGATTAGGCAATCAACCTTCAAACATGACAGTTTAGCGAAACATATTTTCATAATATAGATTCCATCTAAATGATAAATTGAAGGAAAAAAAAGGTGTCCAATGTAGTTGACGAAAGTGAGAGTACCAAAATAGAGTTTAAACCAGTTAGTCCAGTTGCATATCACGAATCTAACTATGAAGAATACGGATAAAGACTCATTAGGTTTATCGAAAGAAAAAAAAACCTTTCAACAAAACAACCTGCGCATAAGATTAATCAAATCATAGAAGAACATCAAATGCTAACAGCACAAATAATCCAAAGAAATTAGAATTAAACACTACATCAGTCATGGTTTATCAGAATACTCCAGCAACATGAAACTCTAGAGCCACTTCAGATTATTTCAAAAGGTATTTCCACCGCATGAGAAATATAATCAATCATCACAGCATCCGCCGAAGCAGATATCTGTTCAGAGTAAACATTCAAATTTACAAATAGCAAAAAAGTAGAGGACTACATGACAAAACAGAGAAAAGAAAGAACAGATCCGCCATGGAAAACACATAATTCCCGAAAAGGAAAGTTGAAGACGAAATCGGTAGAAACATAAGAGTTAGGAAGGATTTCACGAAATAATACCTCAATGGGATAATACTGAAACAAAAAAAATGACCTAAAGCCCTCTTTCCTCTCGCACAATAAATGAGTCTTCCTCCAAATAAGGGAAGAACACAGCTTAACAAATGACGGAGACGGTGTGAGCTAATGCGCCATGGGGGTTCGTTTTATAAGCATCACGCCGTTCGAGGCGTAAGGCGAAAGAGACGAGATGACGAGCCTTCTTGGTATATTCCGCGTTGCTTGTGGGGGTGAAGTAGGGCAAGATAACACAGCTCTGGGGATCCAGAGAGAGAAAGTGCGTTTAGAAGGGGCTCAAAGGAGAGAGCGCAATGGTTTTTCCCCCTTTCGGTGAGCGAGCAAAACGACAAGCTCGGAAATACGAAGGATGGCTGTTTGCCTTTAGGGCTGTTTGGTCCCTAAAGGGTTTCAGATTCACAGAGCGTTATGGTGGCGAAGGAAGGAAATATATGTATATATTGGAGAAAGGCCTTTAAATGCGTACCACCAAATATATACATATATATATATATA